CCCCTGGTGGTTCAGTATGTTACATAGTGACCAGTCATTCCCAGTCTTTTCGGTGTAAGTGTCAGTTTGCATATTACCCTTATACTATATAGGATAGAAGGCCTGGTCATGGGTGGGGGCCGGCTGTTGCCCGAAGGGTGTCCCGGATCAGGGTGGGGGTCCCGCTGGGGAGCCTGACCAGCCTGGATGAGGGAGATGATGGCTGTTTGAAGCTGGTCACACCCCCTTCAGGGTGGGGGTCCCCACTGGGGTGCCTGGCCAGTCTGGGTGAGGGGCTGAGGGCCGTTTTCAGGCTGGCCGGTGACTGAAGCTCCCAACCTCTCCTTTTTTTCTTTTAATTCTGGGATTTATTTACCTTCTATCGCTGTCACTGGAATTGAGAGCGGGCTTTAGCTCTGAGAATCGGCTCCAGCTCTATCCTATATAATAAAAGGGTAATATGCAAATTGACCCTAACAGCAGAATGACAGGGAATGACTGGTCACTATAACACACACTGACCACCAGGGGCCAGACGCTCAATGCAGGAGCTGCCCCCTGGTGGTCAGTGCACTCCCACAGGGGGAGCTCTGCTCAGCCACAAGCCAGGCTGAAGGCTGCCAGTACAGTGGTGGTGGTGGGAGCCTCTCCTGCCTCCTCCGCAGTGCTAAGGATGTCCAACTGCAGCTTAGGCCTGCTTCCCACTGGCAAGTGGACATCCCCCGAGGGCTCCTGGGATGCCAGAGGGATGTCTGACTGCCAGCTTAGGCCCAATCCCCGGGGAGTGGGCCTAAGCCAGTAGATGGTCATCCCCCGAGGGTCCCAGACTGCGAGAGGGCACCGGCCCGGCTGAGTGACCCCCGAGTGCACAAATTTTTGTGCACCGGGTCTCTAGTGTGTATATATATATATATATATATATATATATATATATATATATCTTATCCTTTACGACAGGATGGATGGACCTGGACATTATTATGCAAAGTGAAATAAGAATACAAAGACCATATGATGTCACTTATATGTGGAATCTAATGAACAAAATAATTTAGCAAAATAGAAACAGAAGCATAGATACTTAGAACAGATTGACAGCTGTCAGAATGGAGGGGTTTTGGGGAGCTGGGTGAAAAAAGGGGAAGAGATTAAGAAAAAAATATATACATATGACATATAAACATGGACAAAAGTATGGTGATAACAAGGGAGAAATGTGGGTGGGGGGAGGTGGAGGTGGGCAAAGGAGGATAAATGGATGCAAAGAGAAGTTGCTTTGGGCGTTGAGCACACGATGCATTGTGCAGACGATGTTTTATTGAGTTGCACACTTGAAACCTGTCTTTTTTTAAAACAATATCACCCAAAATTCAACAAGAAGTTTATAAATACTGTACTTCAGGAAATTATTCAGAACTGAACACAAGAGAAAGTACATGAAACAAGTGTAACACAGGAGTGTCTAGATTTCATTTGTGTTTTGAAAGAATCCCTCTGACTTCTGTGTAAAGAGGAATTGGAAGGAGACAAGAGTAGGAAGGGGTAGTTGGTCAGAAGGGAATTGCAGTGGTTTAGACGTGGAGATGGCAGCCTGGCTCAGGAAGGGATGATGGAGACTGAGCCATCTGGGCACATGAGGGATATACTGAGAAGATAAGAACAGTAGGGCTGTATAATGGCTAGGTTGTAGGGGGAAATAAGGTAACTGTGGAGTAACATTCAGGTTTCAAACTTGTGCAAGGGAATGGATGTAGTGCCAGTCAGAGAGGGACAGACACCATGGAAAAGGATGGGATTAGGGTGAAGATGGAGGGTCATAAATTGGAAGGCTGAGTTTAAGGTGCCTTGGTAATATTAAAGATGTCAAGTAACTGGAAATACTCTTCTAGTTCTCAGAGCTAGAGAAACGTATGTGGCCATCATTTGCATCTATATGGTGACTGACTCTAAGGAATGAATTCTATTGCCTAGGAAGAAAGAATTTAATGAGAATTTAAATTGGTTGAAGCTATAAAAGAAACAAAGAGAAATGCTAGAGATAATGGAGAAAGACATGGAGGAAGGGCATGTGAATAGATTCTAGACAGGATAAGGATGGAGTGTTTCATGAGAAAGAGTGATAAATAGTTAAGAAGTTTCTGGAAAGATTTTAGGGGCACGGAGATCATTGTAAACCTAAGAGATATTTGCTTTGATGGAATGATTTGGGAAAGAAGCCAAAATACATGAATTGAGGGAATGAATTTAAGGCAATGAAACGGAGACAGAGAAAAATCAACTCTTGGCTGGTAGCTAGAAGGAAATGGTAGGCCAAGTGGTACATGTTTGTAACATGGAAAAAAATCAAACATGTTGCTACAACATTGGGAAGAATGCTTTTGAGAAGGTGAGTGAAGAATGAAGGGGATAAGGGTGGGAGAAAGACAAAGAGGGAGGAAAGAGAATGTGTGAACAATAGTGTAAGAAGAATTCATACGGTAAGAATGATGGGATTCAAAGTGAAGGTGAATGTTGTCTTCAGAGAGAAGGGAAATGGTGTGAATGATATGGCAATGTGGAAAAAGTGCCTGCTAATTTATGTGTGTTCAGAGGGTGCACTTTACAGAGTGATTGCAATTACTCAGATTTTCTCTGTGGAATATATGGTACAAATATTTGCTGAGAAAGGGAGAGGGGATACAAGATTCAACTGTGAAACCAGTGTTTGTGGAAGATGAATGAACAGGTGAAAGATATACAGAACTTCCTGGGTGTATACTAGACTTCTTTTTTTTTAAAATTTATTTTAAAATATGTTTTTATTATTCGAGAGAGAGTGAGGAAGGTAGAGGGATAGAGAACGAGAAACATTTATCGGCTGACTCCTGCATGCCCCCTACTGGGGATCAAACCCACAACTCAGGAGTGTGCCCTGACCAGGAATTGAACCAGGGACCTCTTGGTTCATGGGTCAATGCTCAACCACTGAGCCACAGTAGGCGGACATAGTAGGCTCCTTTAAATGGGAAAGAAGACACAAGGCATTTAATGGAAGATGGAAGAGCTAAGAAACTGTAAGTAAAAGAACTGTCTATGTCTAAAAATTTTTTTTTAAAGAATTTGGTAAATCTAAACCACTGGTGGTCCTTAGTAATTATTGCCATGAATTATCACATGCAATGATGGCTTTTCCTTCCTGGTTTTACAGTGAATGGAGGGTGCCAAACATATCAAGCAGCCTCCTTAAGTTTAAAATGCTAGCTAACACTTATTTCCTTTTATTTCTTAAACATGTACATCATTTCCCTCATTTTTGCCTTTTTCTTGCGTAGTGCTGAGTGACTACGAGATAGAGATGGATAAAGGGTAAGATAATGTGGGTCTGAGTGCAAGGGGCATCCCTGCTTCAGAGCATTGATTCTTGCTTATGTAGCTAACCATGCATGGCACACGGCAGGTGTTCAATAAGAGTGCTAATGGGTAAAAGTCAAGGTGAACACAGTTCCTCAGGGGCAAGAGCAAAGTATATATTTTCTAAGTGAGACCATTGCTAATGGTTAAGAAATCAAAGAGTAAATTCAGTGGGAGCCATCCTAGGGCATCACCTGCTGCACACCCAGGTTGTCCAGTGTGTTGGGCATGAGGTACTGTATCAGTTAGTGAAGTGCTCTGGGAGGAATGCATGGCCTTACCACCCTGTGTTTATGGGCATCCGACAGTAGTCCGCTGGAGAGGGTGTATTGCTCAGACTCCACTTGGATTTTCCTGACCCGTTTCAACCATTTCCTGTATTGCTCCCGGACCTGCAGAGGCAAAGCATGCTCTGAGTCAGCTCACTGAGAGGAGTGTGAATGGAAAGAGTCCTGGGTGGGAGGTGGACAGTGGTACCTGCTGGCTGAGGAGACAGTACACCAGGAAGATGAAGACGCCCTGCAGGCTGTTGATGATGGTGAAGAGATAGGCCATGGCGTGAGCAGCTGGACCCACCTGCAGGATTCCCAGACACCACGTGCAGCCCAAGATGAAGAGCTGAGCTATCGCTTTAAATGTCAGCATCCTTGGTAGAAGGAGAAGAGAGGCCCATATGCACCCAGAACAACAGAATCAAGGCCATTCTCATCTCCACCCAATGAGTGCTCCTGCCTTCCCCTGTGGGTGATGAGTTCACAGACAGACTTGTGTTCAGCTTTGACCTTCACTGTCAATGATTCTCCACAATAGAAATGCTATTTGGGTCCAGGATGGCATTTGGATTGAAGTGAGTAGGGTCTCGACACTTCAGAATGTAAGTTCAAAAAAAAAATTCTATAATGCTCCATGGCAATGCCTAATTTTATCTAACCAACATTGCCAAGTGTTTTCTGTGCATCAGGCTGTGTGCTGGAACCTGGGCACTAAAAGTTACAGAGGCAAGATTTCCATTTTCATAAAGGTCACAGGCTATTCCAATGACTAATACAGCAGAATAATGACATGCAAAATGTAGAAAGGATACTGGAGAGGGGTGAGAAGGAGCCTGACTGAGAGTGGGTATGGAAGTGTAGACTGGGGTGTGGGAGGAGTCACAGATTTTTCTAAGTGAACACAGTTTCTTTGTACTTTTGTTGTAGGACTGCTGACAAAAGGCCAAAGAGTGTTTATCAACCAATGTCAATTCTTCCTGTTGCTGAGGGAGTTATAAGATGGGATTAGAGACAGAACACTGTGGCCGGGAAGTCAGCAGCCCACCACTGACTCCAAGCTGGCTGCCATTGGAGGTCAGCTGCATCTCTTTACTCTGGGTTCCCTCAGAAGACCCCGAGAAGGGACGCCAGGGCTGCTGAGGCACATGGATTTGCACTTGGGACCACACATGTCTGTGGGGTTGTCACCCTCTTCTCCATTTTACCTTGTATTCTTGAGGGTGGACACATCACTGTTGAGTGAAGAGAGTTTGCTTTTCAAAATGCAGAGGGTCATCAGAAAGAAAGCTAGATTGACCTTCAGGAAAACACACAAGGTTTAGTGAATAACATTTCAGTTTGTTATCTCTTGTCTAGCCCGTCCAACAGAAATTCCACATTTAAGTAGTTTTCATATTTAGTAACAGTGTTAGAGATTTTAGTTTTGGGAGGAGTCTTAAAAAACCAAAGCAAACCCAAGACAACACAGGGACATTCTTGCTCCTGTCATCCTCCTGCCTCCTTATAAGTCTAATGACCCTCAGCTGAGCGTTAAGGATGCTCTGATGTCTTCACTCACAAAGAGGATGGCGCAGACTGGTCCAAGGAAGCCCCATATAAATCCCTTTTCCAGGTGGAGCCAGCAGCTAAGAAAGAGAGAGAATTAAAAACGCATTGGTCCTTAGAATGTAGAACAATTATGCAAACTCATTCATTAATTCATTCATCAACAAACATAGAGTGTCTCTTCTGTGATAGGCTCTGTGATTGGCTCTAAAGATAGAGTCATGAAGAAAGTAAGCATGGTCTTCAATCCCACACATCTCGCAGACACACAATGAGACATACTGCAACAACAAAATAAAAATGGGAAGCTAACACTCTATCCAACTGAGCCAAAGCAGCTAGGGCTGAGTTTTTTAAATTATGGCTTTTTTGAGAGGTAGCTTACATACCATAACATTCACCCATTTAAACTGTACAGTTCAGTGACCTTTAAAATATTCATAGAGTTGCCCTAGCTTGTTTGGCTCAGTGGATAGAGCATCGGCCTGCGGACTGAAAGGTCCCAGGTTTGATTCTGGTCAAGGGCACATGCCCTTGGTTGCAGGCTCGATCCCCAGTAGGGGACATGCTAGAGGCAGCCAATCAATGATTCTCTCTCATCACTGATGTTTCTATCTCCCTCTACCTCTCCCTTCCTCTCTGAAATCAATAAAAATATATTTCAAAAAATTCATAGTGTTGTGCGATCATCACCACAATCTAACTTAGAACATTTCTAACTCCTCTAAAAGAAACTCATTCATACTAGCAGTCACTCCTCATTCCTGCTTCCAGGCACCCCACTGCCCACATAGCCCCACAGCATCATTAATCTACTTTCTGTCTCTATGGATTTGCCTATTTTGGACATAAATGGAATCGTACAATACATGGTATTTTATGAGTGGATTCTGTCACCTAGCATGTTTTCAATCAAGGTTCATCCATGTTGCAGCAAGTTTTTATGGCTGAATAATATTTTTAAAAATTCTTCTTCTTATTTTTGTTGTTATTACTCACCCGAGGATATTTTCCCATTGATTTTTTTAGGGATAGTGGAAGAGAGAGGGAAAGACAGAGAGAAACATCGATGTGAGAGAAACACATCGAATGGTTGCCTCCTGCAGGCGCTCCAGACCAGTGCCTGGGAGGAGTCTGTAACCAAGGCACGTGCCCTTGATGTGAATTGACCCAGGACCCTTTGTTCCGGAGGCCAATGCTCAATCCACTGAGCCAAACCAACTAGGGCTGTTTTTTTATTTTAACACTTTAACCTAATCGCTGTGATGTGACACCTCATTTTGATGTTTTTGATTTTCATTTTCGTAATGACTGATGATGTTGAGCAACTTTTCATACATTCACTGGTCATTTACATATCTTGGAAGAAATGTCTAGTCAAATCTACTGTCCATTTTCATTTATTTATTTTTATTTTATTTATTTAAATATTAAATTTTTTTAGTATATATTTTATTGATTTTTTACAGAGAGGAAAGGATAGGGATAGAGAGTTAGGAAAATCGACGAGAAAGAAACATCGATCAGCTGCTTCCTGCACACCCCCCAACCGGGGATGTGCCCACAACCAAGTTACATGCCCTTGACCAGAATCGAACCTGGGACCCTTCAGTCCGCAGGCCGATGCTCTATGCACTGAGCCAAACCTGTTAGGGCTAAATCTTAAATTTTTAAAAAATTGATTTCAGAGATGAAAGGAGAGGGAGAGAGATATAGAAACTTCCTTGATGAGGGAATCATTGATCAGCCCCACACTGGGGATGGAGCCTGCAATCCGGGCATGTGCCCTGATCTGGGAATCAAACTGAGGACCTCCTGGTTCCCAGGTCGACCCTCCACCACTGAGCCACACCGGCTAGGCTATTTAAATCTTTATTGTTGAAATTATTACATCATCCCCTTTTTCTTTTGTCCATTTTTAAATTGGGTTGTCTTTTGTTATTGAGTTGTTCCACCTAATTTTAACAACAGTGCTAAACAGAAGTTCTCTTATGATTTAGGTTTGTAACTGAAGTGTACAGGGCTTAGTTAAGTCTATTTCTTAAGGTTTTACTGTGACAGAATTTACTCTTGATCCACATGAGGGTAAGAACAGGGGTGCGCAAAAGTAGGCTTACAGTTGTGTGTATGTGAAACAGGTTATTCTTGTACTATTATGTATTATTGTATTATTTTCCATACCAATAATTGTAAACCTTCTTTTGCCTACGCCTGTACAGAGGACATTTCAGGTCAATGGAGAGTGTAGTAGGACATTGAAATATACACTGAGACAAATGTAAGCAGGAAAGAACTGATGTGTCCAAGAAGGAATCTCTGTAGAGTTGAGCTGATGCAGGCGCACGTAAGTTTGAGCAGCATGTTGTGGGTAAGAGTGCAGCTTCTGCGAGACCAACTTCCTGAATGTAAGTGTGCAGACTTGCTCTCCCTCTAAAAACAACAAATGCTTAAGCAAAACAACTAAGACCAACCATTTCAAAACTCTGACAACTACCCAAAGCCTCAGAACAAACTGAAATAGTCTATCTGAGAGAAACTACCGAAGCTGGGTAAGATTGGTGAGGAAGGACTCTGTGGTGTTTCAACTCTGAACTCTTTCCACTCCTTCTCTCCCCAGCTTAGTGGTGAGGCTGCCAAAAGCTGATAGCATTGCAGACAACAGGGAGCTCTGACATTGTTGGAGGTCCTTTGAGAGCATCATCCTTATCCCCAGAGCACAGTCAGTATTTTCTTCTGACCCTTTAGTTCTCCAGGAACCCTGTATTCTCCAAATTTGGTGTATATTTTATTCCACTGAAAGCTCATCTCAGTGAGAGACAAACAGCCTCCCCTAGGGCATTGCCAAAATAATAGCAAATGCCTGTCAATAACTTTGCTAACTGCCCCAAGGCTGTGATTTCAGGTGGTGTCAACAAGAACTTGTCTTAGGCCCTGGCTGGGTGGCTCACTTAGTTGGCATATGGTCCCAATGGGCCAGGTTTGAGGGTTCAATCCAGATCAGGGCATATACAAGATTCAACCAATAAATGCATAAATAAGTGGAACAAAAATTGATCTCTCTTTCTCTAACCCCCTCATTTTTAAAAAATACATATTTGTGTTTTTGTTGTTGTTAATCCTCACCTCAAGGATATTTTTCCGTTGATTTTTAGAGAGAGTGGAAGGGAGCGGGAGAGGCAGAGAGACAGAGAGAAACATCAATGTGAGAGGGACACATCGATTGGTTGTCTCCTGCATGAACCCGAAACCAAGGCCTGGGAATCTGCAACCAAGGTAGGAGCCCTTGACCGGAATTGAACCTGGGACACTTCAGTCCTTGGGCTGTTGCTCTATCCACTGAGCCCAACCAGTCAGAGCTCAACCCCCTCATTTGTATGTCTTCTTGGGAGAAATGTCTATTCAGGTCCTCTCCCCATTTTTTATTTGGATTGTTGTTGAATTGTATGAGTTCTTTATATATTTTAGATATTAATCCCTTATCAGAAGTATTGTTTGCAAATACCTTCTCCCATTCAGTGGGTTGCCTTTGGATATCTATCCAAAAATTTTTAAAATATTTGTTCACAAAGATATGTGCATGACTATGTTCATTGCAGCATTATTCATGGTGGTCAAGACATGGAAACAACCCAAGTGTCCCTTTGATAGATGGTTGGATAAAGGAGATGTACTTATTATATACAATGGAATACTATTCCACCATAAGGAAACATGAAGTTCTGTCTTTGTGACAACATAGATGGATCTTGAGACTATCATGCTAAGCGATACAATTTAGACAGAAAAAAATCAAGAATCCTATGATTTCACTCATATGTAAGATACTAAACTGAAAGCAAGAAATGAACAAACAAGACAAGCAAACAAACAAAAAATCATAGACACAGACAATAGTATGGTGGTTACCAGAGGGAGAGAGGGGTGGGAGGAGGTAGTAAAGGGTAAAGGGGAAAATATAGGTTGATGGAAGGATATTTGACTTTGGATGGTAAACATACAATGCAATATACAGATTATGTATTATAGAACTGTACACTTAAAACATATATAATGTAATTAACCAATGTCACCTCAATAAATCTAATTAAAATATTTTAATTTGTGCATGTATGTTTACAGCAGCATTTTTCATAGTAGTAAAAAAATGGAAACAATAAAAATGTTTGTCATCTGTTGGATAGATAAAAAATGTGATATATCTATATAATGGAATATTATTTACAAAACAACAATACCAGCAACAACAATTCCAGGAGAGGCTGGAAGTTGCAGAAATGGCCACAATCACAGCCAGGACTCCGTAACCCACAGGTCATGATACTTGCTACAACGTGATGAACCTTGAACACATCATGTTAAGAATCCAGTCACAAAACACAGCATTTATGATTTCATTTATGGGATCATCCAGGATAGGCAGATCCATGGATTAGTGGTTGTCAGGGGTTGAGGTATGTGGACTGTCAGTGGTATGTCAGTGGTAACAGGAAGGAGGACTGCATGATATTGTGTACAAGATTTCTTGCTTTTTGTTGTTGTTGTTGTTGTTGTTAATCTTCACCCGAGGATATTTTTCCATTGATGTTTAGAGAGAGTAGAAGATAGGGGGAGAGACACAGAGAGAGAAACATTGATGTGAGAGAGACATATTGATTGGTTGCCTCCAGAAAGCATGCCAACCAACTGGGTCCCAAACGGGGCTGACCGGGGATCAAACCTGCAACCGAGGTACATGCCCTTGACTGGAATCGAATCTGAGACCCTTCAGTCTGCAGGCCACCACTCTGTCCATTAAACCAAACCAGTTAGGGCACGAGGTTTTCTTTAGGGATTTGAAATCATTGTGAAATTTGATTGTGTGATAGCTGTACCACTCTGTAATTATTGTGAGAATCCTTTAAAGATATGTGAAATGTATTTCAAAAAGAAGTGAAAACATTAAACTTAGTGTAAAAAGCTGACAATAAAAGAGTGCAAGCTCTGGAGAGTGACTCCCTTGATTTGAATCCCAGCTCTGCTACTTACTAGCTGTGCCCCTTTGGGCATTTATTTAAACTCTGTGCCTCTATTGACTTATCTGTAAAATGGGTCAAATCACAGTGTCTAGTTCACAGTATTGGTGTGAAGACGAACTGCATTAGCTAATATAAAAATGGTTAGAAAAGTGCCTGGCACAGCCTGGCTGGTATGGCTCAGTGGATTGAACATCATCCATGCACTGAGAGGTCGCTGGTTTGATTCCCAGTCAGGACACATGAATGAATTGTGGGCTCCATTCCCAGTAGGGGGCACGCAGGAGGCAGCCCATCCATGTTTCTACTCTCTCTTTTCCCTTCCTCTGTCTATAAAAATCAACAGGAACATATTTTTTAAAAAGAGATAGAAAAGTGCCTGGCACAGTCCAGCTGTCGTGGCTCAGTGGTTGAATGTCGACCTATAAACCAGGAGTTCATGGTTTAATTCCTAGTCAGGAGGTCACAGTTCGATTCCCGGTTTGTGGGCTCAATTCCCAGTGTGGAGCGGGCAGGAAGCAGCCTATCAATGATTAATATTTCTCTTTCATCATTGATGTTTCTCTCTCTCCCTCTTCCTTTCTCTCTGAAATAAATATTTTAAAAAGTATCTGGCACAGAGTAAGCACCGTGTTAATCTCAACTATGTTACAATTTATAGTTTAGATTATTTAAATCAGCTCTATTTTTCCAAACATAAATTAGGGACAACTTGTACTATTTGGATAAAGAGGTAGGTTAAATTGTTTATAATGATGTCCTAAGCACCTTTTTTCATGACACCTTTGTTATTTTAAGGAGAGTTTTAGAGACATTTTTCTTAATTATTATAAGCTAGAGGCCCAGTGGATGACATTTGTGCACTGAAGGGGGTCACTCAGCCCGGCCTGTGCCCTCTCATGCCCGGGGCCGGTTCATCCTTGCTGCTTGACACAGTCGCTGCAGGGAAGAAACATCTGCACAGCATATGTTTCATGGGACCTGGCATATATGGCATACTGTTCTTAATATGTTTGCTCCCCTTAGCGCTATGTGTTTTAACCAAGGTCACCTCTCCGAGAAATGTGGTTTCCCCAGGTAGGGATTTTCCCCTGAAGTTAGGGTGGGAATAAAACCCCTTAACTAAGTGCCAGGTGGGTAGTTAATCACTTTAACTACAAACAATCACCCTTAAGTTACATAATCTTTACTCCCTGGAATGGAGATAAGAAACGCCCTAAACTTTGCAATAGTAATTGACAGGATTAAAATCCACTGGTATAAATACAGATGTAACAAGACAACAGAAGACAGAACCTAGAGACAGGACTTGGCTGGAGATCCTATACAGAACCTAGAGACAGAACATAGGGAGAGAACATGGCAAGAGAACCTGGACAGAACTTGGGCTGGAGATCATGGCTAGAGATCCTGGCTAGGCTGCTGATCAACTGAATGCTGTCTCCGTGTCATTCCTTCATGGCTGACTCCATCCACACCTTTGGGAACCCCTGGACCTGCTGGGGTTGGACTCCAGCACTCTCAAAGTCCAGGACCCCTCAGGGGATGTCCGAATGCCAGTTTAGGTCCGCTCTCCTAAGCTGTCAGACGGACATCCCCTGAGGGGTCCTTAGTGCTGCCATGGAGGTGGGAGGGGTCAGGGGGAGGGCATTGACCACCAAAGGGCAGCTCCTGCATTGAGCATCTGCACCCTGGTGGTCAGTGCGCATCATAGCAACTGGTCATCCTGCCATTTGGTTGATTTGCATATTAGCCTTTTATTATGTAGGATAGCCATCAGAAAGATGCCATAACCATCATCACTTATTGTCTCTATTCATATGATCTGTCATAATCAGAATGCTATGTTGGTTCCACAAAGCCATGCTCATGGGGAAGAAGAAAAAGAAAACACGGGAATTTGCCCTTACCGAGCAGGTGTTCCATAAAGGTGAGACCTGGATGCTGCAGAAATGGCCACAATCACAGCTGGGACTCCGTAGCCCACAGGGAGCATTAACTTCTTCATGAACCTGCTCACATTGGAGTAGTTGACCGCCGTCAGGTTGCGTGCAGTGAGGAAGAGGTGCAGGCCCTCCAGCAGCATCCAGGTGAAGGAGGCCAGGTAGAGATAGTGTAAGGCACCCGCGATGATGGCGCACAGCACCTGGGGAGGAGTGAGAGATCCCTGGTGGGATTGTCAGGGTGGAGCATGGCCCCAGGACCTCTCCTATACCTTGGCATTTGGGAGAACTCTGCTGTATATGAAGGAATTGTCAAAAGAAGGTGTGATTTCTAGTCGGGTCAGTCAGTGTAAAATTGGCTACTTACCCCTCTAACCTTCCCCAAACCCAAAGTCATTTTATTAAGGTGTCCAATGCAAGTGTACTCCTCATTCCACGGTCAGGGCATGCTTCCTTTGGGACAGTGTCGGTACCTTAGGCTCAGTTCTGTCGATGGCCGTGAGGAAGAGCAGGTGGGCCAGGAAGAGGCAGAGCGAGAGCTGCAGGTGGAGTGAGGTGCTGGTGTTCTGGATGGCTTTGCACAGCAGGAAGGTGAGGGCCGCCAGGAGGAGGCACAGCAGAGAGAGGCTCAGCCCCACGTAGGTGATCACAGCCAGGGCGGGATCCTCCTCCTGGGACCCAGGAAAGAGGAGAGAGCAGTCACACCCTCCTAAGCTGGGTTAATCACCCTTCTACCATTTCAGTTTGGGCAGGGTACAACAAAATTCGGAGTGGAGGAGCCAGGTAAATTTGTGATGTTTATGGACACTGTTAGAATTCTAGGGGTTTCTGAACTGATTCATTCAGATCCTATAAACATTGAGGGATAAGAGAGTCCTCATTCAGGACCAAGCCCTGGAAATCATAGGGTTGATTTTCCTCCTTGACTATGCTTATAGGTTATCATGAGACAGTCACAGTAGCACATGGCTTTGTGTTGAGCACCATCCTCCATCCCCATGATGTGATACTGTGTGACAGAGTCTGCATCCAGACACTCGATTTCCAGGGATCAACTCCCCACCTTGGACTTACTCACCTCATCCCTGCAACACCTGTTCCTTACAGATTTAGATCCTTGGTTAAAGAAGGAGAAGTACTGATGAGGGTGGTAGCTTAAAATTAATATTTCCAGCCTAATGTTTTATTTGTTTTTTAAAATATAATTTTATTGATTTGAGAGGAAGAGAGAGAAAGAGAAAGATAGATACATCAACGATGAGAGAGAATCATTGATCGGCTGCCTCCTGTATACCTCCTACTAGGGATTGAGCCCATAACCCGGGCATATGCCCTTCACCAGAATCAAACCTGGGACCGTTCAGTCCGCATGCTGATGCTCCATCCACTGAACAAAACTGGCTTGGGCTCCTGACTATTTTCTAAAGATTAAAATTTTTCCTGCCTGATTTTTCAAATCATCTTAAATCCATAAGGAGAACTTAAAAAACTTAATTTTAGTGTAAGTATGTGAGAAAGAGAAAGAGGGAAGGACAGAGAGAAAAACAGAAATGTGAATATGATCAAGAAAATGGAGGACAGCAATCCTCAGATGAGATGCTTGTGTATGACCCTGACGGGACAACCCAGGTGCACCATGTTTATTTATTGACTCACATAAATTTCAGAATAATAAATTATGTTATTTTAGGTGCAACTTGCATGGGAACTTATTACATAGCAATAGACATTGAACAAAGTCCCTTCTCAAGGCTCTCACCTGCACATCATAGTGGGCCATGAGGACGGCAAAGCTGCTGAGGTGGCTGCATTGGCAGGTGGTGCTGGTGTCTCTGGTGCCCACCATCCAGCAGCCTTTGGTGGACCAATGACCACTTCCATTCTGGCCAGGCTCCCAGAAGACACAGAACACCTTCTGCTTTGGCCCCGGGGTCACTGTCTGTAGGAACAGGGCAAGGTGTGAGCTGGTGATTAGGTGCTCAGAAATGCTGACCCAAATCCTGCTTGTGATGGGCTTCCCTGGGGAAATGATGTACCCATGGGAAAGCCCCTGAACCCCAAGACTGTGTCCAGGACTCAGGCCTCTTCCACACCCACAGCCCCGTTTCACCAGCACTCACATGCTTGAAGACAAAGGTGACTGGGGAGCTGAGGTTCTGAGTGTCTTTGTTGCTCATAAAGGCAGATTTGATATCTGAAAGCAGGACAGGGGAGACTTCCTGCAGCAGGCCCTTGTGTGTCTCATGTAGAACTGACTGCTCCTCAGTTTCCAGGACCAGGGGGGCCCCAACCAGCAACTTGCCCATCCCTGGAGAGGAGACAAGGCCCACCACAGCAGGGCCTGCAAGACAAGGACAAGGTTCACATCTTGGGTTGTCCCAAAGGCCCCCTTCCTTCTGGGATGTATTCTCTCCTTTGACCCACCACAGCCTACACTTCCTTTTAATATTTAATTCTGTTTGTCACATCCATGGGTGTCTTGTTCCACTTGAAGCCTCATTGACCTTCTGTCCACCTCAGTCATTACCTGAGCCACCTGAGTCCTGCACCACTTTCCAGTTCACCAGCATCTTTGCCTGATTAATGCTCAGGGTGACATTCTTGTCTCCTTGCTCCTTCACCTCCAGAGATAGTTCTATGAGTTGTGGGAGTTACATAAGGGAGTTAGATTAGTAACTGTGCCAGAAGATGTAGCTATAATATAATTTTATGTATATATATATCTTGTATATGTATTATGTTACACTATATACCAAATGTTATCTGTAACATTATTATAGATATACCAAATAATGCCATATATATGTTATAATAATACACATATTTTGTATACATAATAATGATATATACCAATCTGAATTTTCAAAGGATTATCAGACAAACTACAAAATATATAACCTGAATGAAATAAAGAAATTCCTACAGACCCATGAACTATAAAAGTAACTGAAGAACTGGAGTATGAACAGACCTGTTACAAGAAAGGAGATTGAATCTCTAATGAAAACTTTCTAAATGAAAGTTAAGACCTGAATTCGACTAACCATTTAAGGAAGAGTTAACACAAATTCTTGTACACTCCTAAAAAATAGAATGAAAAGGAACACTGAATAATTTTATGAGGCCACAATTACTCTAAAAACCAAACTAGAAAAAGATATCAAAAGAAAATAAAACTATAGACCATTAACTCTTATGAACATAGATGCAAAAATCTTCAACAAAATATTTAAAAAAAATTGTCCTAGAAGTCTCAAGGCTTGTCCACTGAAAACTATAAAATATTGCTAAAGAAGTTTAAAAACCCTAAATAAATGGAAAGGTATCCTGTGATTATGAATTGGAAGGCTTAATATTTTAAACATGGCAAGATTTCCAAAAGTGTTCTACAGATTCAATGCAATACTAACAATATTTCAAAAGAATATATATTTTTTGCAAAAATAGAAAAGCTCATTTTAAAATTCATATGGTATTGCAAGAGGCCCCAATACCCAAACAATATTGAAAATGAAAAGCAAAGTTGTAGGACTCACACTTTTTGATTTCAAAATTTATTACTAGTATACAGTAATCAGAGCAATATGGTGCTGCCATATGAGTAGACATATAAATCAACAAAATAAAATTGAGAGTCCAGAAATAAACCCATTTATTTATGGTTAACCGATTTCAACAGACCCTTCAATGAGGGAAAGAACAATCTCTCCCGTATTTGGTCTTGGGGCATCTGGCTCTGCACAAGTGAAAAAAGGAAGATGCACCCACACCTCATACAACACACAAAAATCAGGTCAAAATGGGTAAAGACATACATTTAAGAGCTAAAAATAGAACAGTTAGGCCCAGCCCATGTATTTCAGTGATTGAACATCTACCTAGGAACAAAGAGGCGCCCCAAATCCTCCTGTCTTCTCCCCCACAGCCCGCCCGTCTTATTTGATTTCCAGACAGGGCAATGCCAGGGTTACAGGCTCTGTCTCCTGTGGGGGTGTGCAGGAGGCAGCTAATTAATGATGTTTCTCTCTCATCGATGTTTCTATCTCCCTCCCTTCCTCTCTCTATAAAAAATCAATAAAAACATTAAAACTACAATAAAAATAGAAGTTAGTAGAAAACAGGAGTAAATGTTCATGACCTTGCATTTGGCAATCAATTCTTAGATATGACACAAATATACAACAACAAAAGAAAAAATGAGTAAGACAGGCTTTACCAAAACTTAATGCACCTATTTATTAAAGTAAAAGGACTATGAAGAAAGTGAAAAGAATCTATAGTTTGGGAAAACATATTAACAAATCACATGTCTCATAAGGGTCTACTAGCAAATATATAAAGAACACTTAAAACTAAACAACAAAAAGCCAAACAGCCCAATTAAAAAATAGGCAAAGAACTTGAACAGATATTTCTCAAAAAAAGATACACAAATGTTGAACAATCATATGAAAAGATGTTAAATATCAGTAGCCATTAGGGAAATGCAAATCAAAACCTTAATGAGTTGTCACCTGACACACCAGAAAGGCTTTAATAAAACCAAAGCAAAATGGAAGTGAGATGTTTTGTTGGGGTTGGGGGACACAGCCGTTTTGCAAAATAGTTTGGTGGCTCCTAAAGGTTGAACATATAATTATCATATCACTCAGCAATTCATCTCCTACATATGGACCCAAAGAACTGAAGCAGTTATTCAAACAGAAACTTGCACACCAATATCATAGTAACTCTATTCACAATAGTCAAAGGGTGGCAACAATTCAATGTCTATAAATGGATGAATGGATAAACAAAAGGTGATGTATACATGCAATGGAATAGTATTTAATCATATGATATATGCTACCATGTGGATAACCTTGAAAATAGTATGCTAGGTGAAAGAAGCTACTATAAGGTCATGTATTGTATGATTCTATTTATATGAAATGTGCAGAATTGGCTAATTCATAGAGACAGAAAACAGATAAATGCTTGCCAAAGGCTGGGGGAGGGAGAAATGAGAAGTAACTGCTTAGTGGGTGCAGTGTTCATTTCTGGGATGATGAAAACACTTTAGAAATAGAGGTGATGGCCTGTCTGGTGTGGCTCACTGGTTGAGCATCAACCCATGGTTGGATTCCAGATCAGGGCATATGCTTAGCTTTTGGGCTTAATCCCCAGTAGGGTGCGTGCAGGAGGCAGCCACTATTTTAAAAAATATATATATTTTTATTATTGATAGTATTACAGATATCTCCCATTTCCCCTCCTTTACCCCCCTCCTCCCAGCCCGTACCCCTACCCCCAGATTTCACTACTCTATTGCCCGTGTCCATGGGCTATGCATATAAGTATATAGGTTCTTTGGTTTATCTCATCATTGATGTTTCTATCTCTCTCTCCCACTCCCTCTCTCTGAAATCAACAAAAGCATATTAAAAAAAAAATAGAGTTGATGGTTGTTCAATTCTGTGAATGTATTAAATGTCACCGAATTGTACACTTTAATTAAAATGGTGGATTTTATGTTATGTGAAATTTACCACAATAAAACAAATAACTTAAATATCAGGTAATATTAAATTTTATTCTTCCAAATTTAATAACTCGTTTTCTTTTGAAGCCATTTCTATTTTATCTTAAATTATTTATTATAATTATTTCATCTGCTGATAATTTATATTACAATGAAAATGTGTACTATTGATAATTTTTTTCATTTTCTTTTAATCTTATATTTTAATGTTTATGAGCATAACAGGGAGGTACAATGCTGGAGGCTAAGAACAGTAGTTAGCATAATAAATGTGAGAAGTTCAGAAGGCTGATGGACATCTTCAGCAGGGCTGAAGATCTGCATATTTTTACCTGCTGCCAAACAGCTGAGGGCAATTCCCCTAACCTGATAATCCTTTATTGTTTACCAAGCCTTACCTTTGATATGTATATCTACTTTGCTAAAGGGCAAAATGTGTGAATAAAAAGCTGTGGGTCCAGAGTTGGGGGTGGGGAGGAACCCACTCCCCTAGAGGGTGATGTCTCTGGCTGGCTCCCCCAATGCCTTCCAAATTTATATTTCCTGTCTAGTTTATCCATTTATGTTGCAGCCCCTTCTCCTGATTCCTGAACCCTTGCTTCAACAGGTTGCAGCAGTACAAGTGTGATCACTCAGCTCTAGTCCATGGGAAGAGGAATGAGGTGAGGAGCAGGCAGAGCAGAGCCTGAGGGCAGGCGGGGTTACTTGCCTGTTCCTGCAGCTGTCCTGAAGGTCAGTGGTCCATTGGGCAGGGCCTTGCTCATCTCTCTCAGGACGTGCTCCCAGCCAGTGAGCAGGTTAGTGGCCACACAGTGCTGCTCTGAATGAGGCAGAGTAAGCAGGTCCCCGGGGTTCTCCAGCAGATTATCCACCTCCTGTATGATGTCCTGGGGGGATGGGGACACAGAAGCTTCTTGTGCCAGAGAAGCTTCAGGAAAACCCTGCCCACTCAGCTTCTGAGAACAGACCCTAGAGCAGCTGTGGGCAAACTACGGCCCGCGGGCCGGATCTGGCCCATTTGAAATGAATAAAACTAAAAAAAACAAAAAAAGACCGTACCCTTTTATGTAATGATGTTTACTTTGAATTTATATTAGTTCACACAAACACTCCATCCATGCTTTTGTTCCGGCCCTCCGGTCCAGTTTAAGAACCCATTGTGGCCCTCGAGTCAAAAAGTTTGCCCACCCCTGCCCTAGAGCCTGTCTATTTGGTGATAAAGGTGGTACCGAATGGGATTCCCTGGGTCTTTGCTAGTGCAATCTGCCATTCAGAGGTCAATCCCTGGTCAAGACTACCAAGGACAATGCAAGTTCAGTGGCCAGAACAAGAGGAAAGGTTTTAGTGCATCTAAGAGTGAATACAAATACTTGGTCTGCTCTTCCACCTACCCTGGGAGAGCGGGCCTCACAGCAGGGCGCCATTGTGTTGGGGTTGGTCTTCTTCCAGACCAAGGCTTCCTCAGGTCTTTATGGGATGCCTCCACCTGCCTCCCCAGGGTCCTGTCCTTACCTGGATGGTGTCCTGGGCCGAGGCAGACTTGAAGTTTCTGAGCAGGTCCTGGACTCTTTCAAAGAAGCGGCAGAGACTCTGGGGAAAGAAGAGATGAGGCCTTAGAGGCCTCATGCATGGGTGGGGGAGCGTGGGGAAATGGGTAGACGGTAGGCTGAATGGAGGGACCTTGCCTCGGGTCCCAGCTGGAGTCACTCACTTGGCTCTTGATTCCAGGGGGCGGGTTCCAGGTAAGGAAGGAGATCTCTGCAGGGGACAGAACAGCAGTCATTAGGTGTGTGAGTGTGTGTGAGTGTGTGTGTGTGTGTGTGTGTGTGTGTGTGAGAGAGAGAGAGAGAGAGAGTATGTTGGAGACAGGCTCAGGGTCAGGTCCTACTTTCACACTGAGTAGTCCTTTGTTTATTCAGGAATCTGGGGCCCTCTCCTCTCTGTGCTCTACCCCCTTTCTGTGTCCAGTCCCCCTCCACCCGACACCTTAGCTGGAAGTGATGACACCTGCTGACTGCACATCCCTGAGTGGCAGACGCAGGGGCTATGGGAAGTGTGCAGAGGCCTGACCCACAGCAGGTCAGCCCCACACAGAGGTACAGGTTGTGAGATATTAGATACCTTTGTCCCAGTTAGTAATTAGCTGCTGCCTGGGGTCCCCCAGGAGCCTTCCCCTTGGTACCCCAGCTCGTTCTGCAGGACCCCCAGATCTTTTTCCATTTAGTGTCAAAGATTGGAAGCCTGGCCCAGCAGGCAACCCCCAGCATTCATTGTTCTGAGTTCCTGTGGCTGCTGGTGAATATGTGATCAGAGGGCTTGAGTTGTGGGTCTTTGGGAATGTGGGATCTGAACTCCGAACCTTTTTCACAGACGGTGTTGTGTGGGCCATTGGGGGACCCAGGAATCGGCTTCCAGCCAGACCTGCAGCGGCACTCATAGCTGCCCTTGGTGTTGCGGCATTGGGTGGATTTGTGGCAGGAGTTTTTCCCCGAGGTACATTCATTCACATCTGAGGACAAAGCCAGAGAGAATGTGAGGTCCTCCCTCCAATCCTTGCTCACATCCTTCCTGCTCCTTCTCTCAAATCCTTTAGCAATTCACACCGAGGACACCCCACTACGCCCCGCTCACCAGCCTAGCCCAATGGGATACATAATAGTGGTGCCATTTTCCACTGTGAAAGCACCATAAACTCAGAGTGCCCCTGCAAGTTGGACAGGACAGGACTGTGTGTGTGCGAGTGACATGCCAAAGCTGAAACAGCTAACTGGAGAGCACAAGGCTTGAGCCTTACAAAATCGAACAAATGTCAAAGGAAAACTCATTTGGCAAGCCCAAGCATTGTAGAAACATGCCCACTTTGAATGAATATATTACAGAAACTTCCGAGACCATAACCCTT